AAACCATTTCAGGTGACTACCTCTTGAAGCTCATGGAGAGAATGCCAAGAGTGTGCAAAGCAGTAATCAGAGCAAAGGGTGGCTATTTTGAAGAAACTAGAATATAAAACATGTTTTCAGTTATTTCACCTTTTTTTGTTAAGTACATAACTCCACATGTGTTCATTCATAGTTTTGATGCCTTCAGTGAGAATCTACAATGTAAATAGTCATGAAAATAAAGAAAACGCATTGAATGAGAAGGTGTGTCCAAACTTTTGGCCTGTACTGTACACCTGATAGAAATATTATTTAATGAATATATCAACAAATAGAAAGCTCACCAGAACTGCAACAGCAGCATTTACACCTTTTTGGAAACCAGGAGGTGAGACGGGAGTCCTTGTGATATAGCTAACCCCTTTTATGTCTGATTAAATAATGTTTTTGTGGAAATCTGACAGGACTGACAGAAAATGGGGCACATTTTTAAAGGGTCAATAATTAATAAATAACTTATTATAGCAGCACATTTTTACACTGATGTTATCAGTGCATACTGTTGGTTTTAGATTCTGAAGGTTTTTAATAGTATTAAGTAGGGCTGCAAGATATTAGATTTTTTTGCCGATATCCGATATGCCGATTCTTAACAATTCGTTCTACCAATCACCAATGTATCCACCCTTTCCCCCACCAGATTTTAGTGATAATCAAGTCTCTTCTGTAGTGGAATTAACATCATATTATGCATGCATACTCTTATTGTGACAGCCCACCAACAGAAAGAGACATGAAACACAATACATTTCAACGTATGTAATATTCATTCATTGTTCAAAATAAGAAAAAGCATGTTCCTTTTAAAGCTGATATCGGCCGATACAGATGACTTGCCGATATTATTGTATATCCCTAGTTTGAAGTAGTGAATTCTTGTCTGGACAAGGCTGTTTTCTGGCACAGGGCAAGTTTGGCAGTTTTAAAAAATGAAAGCAAAACAAAATTTTATACATTGAGGTTTTTTTTCTTCACATAAATAAAGCATTTAAAAATAATATTTCACCCCGAAAATAGCATTAGAGTGTTGATAAATTATAATTTTATGGGGTTTTTTTGTAGGACATGAATTGTCCCAGTTCTCAAAAGTTAGTGTTATAGTTTCCTTACTAAATACCAGCAAGATGGATGGATAGATGAAAATACGTCCATGGTCTTTCCCTGTAAATGTGTCATGCTGTATTCTTATTTTTAAAATACATCACCATGTTGTCAATAAAGGCAGATAAAACGTAATCATGTTTAACAATTATTGAGTGTTTCATACCAACTAGAAGCCAAGTCTTAACTCATTTCAATGGTCACGAACTGAAGGTATTAACGTCACTATTTCTACACGTTTGTGTCTGTATTGAACATCCATCAGGAGGCAGGTGCTATATATAGTTTTACTTATGTCAGTGTGCCGTTAAAGACGCTTCCAACGGCTTAAGAGTTAATAATTAACGTTAAAACCCGCCAAGAAATTGAACCTTTATCTTCTCCGCCTCCTGACAGACGTTGATATAGCGTGGTTTGGTTATGAACGTACCCAGCAAATGACAGCCTCCTGTTTGGGGTACAGACAGCATGGTTGGGTCTGGACAGTTTCTCACGCAGTTGTTCTCGGGGGTTTCTGCCCGCTCTTGGCCTCCCGGGGTCGGCGGTTGGACTCTCGGGCTTCCCGATGTAACTCCCCATGAGGAAATCCCGGGGGCTGAAAAGAAACGAGTCACTTGTCAAGGTTTCTCTCCGGTAAATCCCAGGTTCAACGAGTCTTTCTCTGAAGTGTCCCTCAGAGTCCCGGAGCTCGGTTTTGTTTCTGCCGCTCTTCGTTCTCCCCCGTCCGGCTGCCGACACGCCGGTCACCCCCCAGCCCCACAACCAGCGCCGGAGCACGGCAGGGACGTTCAGCCCAGCCCGCGGATTGAGGCCTAACCTGGCGGGAAGCGGTTCTCCGCTGTGATAGTAACACACAATACAACACACTGCAAGAATTAAAGTTGCGTAAAGAAACGTAGGAATATAATAAAGAGCGAGACTAACTAGGCCTAAAGCAGAGAGAATCGCTAAGTGTTTCTCTCTAGGTGACATGGCGGCAGCGCGCCGCCGGAGGACTCTCATATCCCATCATGCTGCTCTCTTCTGACGCTACTTCTTCTTCTCTGGATTTTAGGGCGTTCGACGGTTCAGTGTATCAGCGCCACCTACCGGGCTGGAGTCATATGATAAGATAAGATACACCTTTATTGATCCCACAGTTGAGAAATTCCAGTGTTACAGCAGTCAAGGGGAAAGAGTCAGATTAAAGATTTCAGTATTTAAAAAACTTAAGAAAAAAAAAAACAAAACTGCAAGGCATGCAAAAAAAGTACAAAAAATACAAGAAACAGCAATAAATAATAATTTTAATAATAATAATAATAATGATGAGCAGTGGATAAAAAGTGAGCAATGGATTAAAGTGAGCATATTTAGTGCAAAGTGAATATTGTATGGTCCAGCCAGTTGAGGCAGTTTAGGCTTATGTGATGTGTGTAAGTGTGTGTGTATGACTAGATTCAGGAGGAGTTAAACAGTCTTATTGTCGTGGGGACGAAGGAGCTCCTGAAACACTCTGTTCTGCAATCCAGTGAGATGAGGCAACTACTGCAGCTGCTCCTCTGTCGCTCCAGGAGGCTGTGGAGAGGGTGTTTGCTATTGTCCGTTATAGCATTCAGGTTGTTCAATGTGCCCCTCTCCACTACAGCTCTTTGTGGGTCCAGTCTCCTGCTGAGCACAGAGCCAGCTTTTTTAACCAGCTTGTCCAAATGCTTGGTGTTTTTGTCTGTCAACCTGCCTCCCCAACATACTGCAGCGTAGAAAAGTGCACTGGCACCACTGTGTGATAGAACATCTACACACACACATCAAAGGACCTTAGTGTCCGCAGGAAGAACAGGTGGCTCTGTCCCTTCTTGTAGAAGGCACCAGTGTTAAAAGACCAGTCCAGCTTCTCATCCAAGAAGACCCCCAGACATTTGTAGGTGTGCACCACCTCAATGTTTTCCCCCTGTATGGAGACTGGTTGATGGGGTGACCTCCTCCTTCTGAAATCTACCACCATCTCCCTGGTTTTGGCTGTGTTCAGGCTCAAAGCCATTCCTTCTCATTTAATCCATCTAATTAAAAGTCACTTATGTTAGGGTGAACAAAACATCCCAGAAACTGAGTTTGCAATACTTCTGAATGGTGTCAACACATTTCACAAGACATGTAAAAATAGACATATTTGACAAATCTTTCAAAATATGAACAAAATCACCCCTAGGGGGAAATTTTACTGAACCTCACATTTGGAAGAGATTAACTGGCAAAAAAACATGGCTTTTACCTTATAAGTACTGTATTAACAAAGTAAAGGAAGTTCATTTCAAAATTTTGCTAGCTATCCAGTGAATTCTATTATTTCCAGATGTGGATGTTGATAACTCTTGTTCATAAAACAAGAACATAAAACATTCAGGACGCCATAGGCCTAATGTCGCCTTTGCTTTTCAAACCCACTTGTGGGTTTTGGGGTTCTGAGGGTATTTTTTAAAAATTCAAAATACAACCATTTAAAGTTGACTGTCCCTCTCCTAAGCCAAATACAAAAACATAACTCCCTCCCCAGCGCTAAAAAAAACATTTGAAGTGCCTCCCCCCTTTTAACCACCTCCTCCCCTCTCATAAGTAATAAACAGTCCCTTTCACTTATGGTAAATCAATAAAAAACTGTTGGAGGTGCAGGGTATCCTCCCCTGGCACATTTTTTGAAATAAGCAAGATCTATTTTGATATTTAAAAAAGGGGGCACACCGCCAGGAAAAGCAAACCACACAAATGTTTGTTAGTAGCCCAGAAATGACCACAGACGACAGCGTTCAGCGCAATGTTTATTTTTGAAATATTATTTAAACACAACATAACACATTTTAAAATGTGACATTACACATTAGACAGAACAACAGGAATTATGGCTGCCCTGAGATTAATATTCATGAAGTGAGGTTGTTAGAATCTATCAGGGAATATCACTTGAAGTCTCTGATTATCTGTGATGGTAATGTACAGAAACAAGAACTGCTCATTCAGCAACCATTTTTGTAAAACACAACCTCTTGTTCCTCTGCTATGCTCCTGTCTTTTGCACTGAGTAGGGACATTTGGACTTCAAAGGTTTTGTCAAAAGCGCTGTAGTCCACACGAAACGCCCCTTTCTCCAGGGAAATGCACGACTCAAATCGGTGGCCCCAGAGCACCTCGTCCTCTGTGTAGGAGGTTCTGGCCTGGCATGTCATACCTGCAGCAGAACAAAGCATGAGAGGGGCGGATAAATGTCATTTTATTAGAAAGAGAGGCAACATTTTAAATATTTGCACTAGTATGCAAATAGAATAACAACACATAATTTCCTCTCAGTTTCTGGCCTTCCATCCACAATGTCTATACAACGCTTTGGTAACCAGCGAGCATTGAGTCATGCAGAAACAAAGATATGTCCAGCACAGCAGCTGTGTCATGTAATTTGTGATAATGGAAGACATAAGTTAAAAGAGAGAGTCAGAGAAGACGGGAACATCCTGAGGATTAAGGAGCAGGCCATCGTCTTTCCATCCAACCACACCTCGTACTTGTGACACCATTTAAAGGTCCAGTGTGTCAGATTTCGGGGGATATATTAGCAGAGATGGAATATGATATGATAAGTATGTTTCTTTTATTGTATAATCACCTGAAAATAAGAATCCTTGTGTTTTTGTCATCTTAGGATGAGATGTATATATTTACATAGAGAGCGGGTCATCGTCTACAGAGAGCGCCATGTTGCACTGCCTTGTTTCTACAGTAGCTAAGAACGGACAAACCAAACACTGGCTCTATTTGGGACCATTCACATTTTCCACTGTATTTAAAAGCCCCTCTGCAACAAGAGCGTTGGAAAACACCGCATTGTTCAATGTTTTTTACTGGTTTAAATCACCTGGTGTTTGTTTTGGAGAGGCAAAGACCTCTGCGGATAATTCAGCTCCACTAAAAGCCTCCCAAACATCTGTATCTTAAATCATCAGAGAAAAAAGGAGAGCTCAGATTAACAGGTGCTTGACTAACGGCCTATCTCCAACATGCCAAACAGTGTTGGACAAACACAAATTTAAACACCGCTTTGTCAGCATTCTGGGATGCCGTGTCAATATACGCATGTTATGTGCATTGTGTCTTTTCAAAAGCACATGGTTAGGTTTAGAAAAAAGGTCATGGTCTGGCTCAACATTCACATGGGAAGTGAACAGCGGCCTCCTGGGTGAAAGTCTTGGGTTTGTTGGACCCATCCACCTTCCCTCCCATCCACTTCATAAGGACTTTCCAGCTCCTTATATTTTGGTGTCGCCAGCGGTGTTGCAAACAGACCCCTTTGGGTGTTTCGATTAAACTGCCATGAAAGGTGCCATTTTGCATCGGTGTCTGACGTTGAAATCACTGACAAAGCAGCGGTGTTTGATGAGTTGGGAATGAGAATGGTCTGCCATCTTACAAACTGTTTCTTTCACTGTTTGTCAACTCTTCTTTGAGGACAGAAAGGGATCTGAAAATGCAACATTTTGAAATGTAGCTGCATTACTGTGGACATGACCTTAGCTAGTGGGACAGATCATGACTTCAAAATCTTTCTACAAACCTGAAGCTTCCACGATGCCCTCCAGGATGACAATGATCTCAAAGGTCTCCCTCTTCAAACGCTCGGACCCCACCTCCCAGAAGGGGCTGCTTTCATTGATAACGTGGGTGATGGTCTGGGGCTCCACCAGAAGCAGCCTGTCTGCCCCGGTGTCGTAGCCCAGATTGATCTCCGACTGCTCCAGCGGGATGAACTCACCTTCCTTTGTCTGCCTGGATTTGATCAGCTTGGCCCGGATCTTGGCGTCCACCATGTGGCTTGCTCTTAGGTCACCGATGCGGAAGAGCATGCACAGCTTCTCGTCACGCTCACATATGACGCAGTGCTTGCTGAAGATCAGCGTCTGGGCTCTCTGCTGTGGTCGGGAGATTTTAACAAACATGCAGCCTACCATCAGAGCATCGATAATGGAGCCAAGGATGGATTGGACCATCAGGAGCACCGTACCCTCGGGGCAGTTAGCTGTCACCATCCTGGAGCCATACCCAATAGTCCTCTGGCTCTCCAACGACAGCAGCAGGGCTGAAAGGAAACTGTCTACATTTTGGAAACATGCCTCCCACAGTGGGTCATGAACATGTGAAATGTCGTCACGCAACCAGGCACCGAAGAGGTAGATCCCACCGAAGGCCACCCAGGTGAGAATGTAGCACATAGTGAAGACGAGAAGGAACCAGCGATACTTGAGGTCCACCAATGTGGTGAAAATATCTGAGAGAAAGCGACTCTTGTCTGCAATATGTCCCAGATTGACCCTGCACTTGCCGTCCTTGGTGACGTAACGCTGGCGCTGATTGCTGGCAGAGACATGCAGTGTGTGCTCGTCCCCCAGCAGCTTACAGCGCTTCTTATGACTCTTTGCACCATGTAGCTTCTCAATCGCAGAGACGGGGAGGCTGCTGCTGCTGGTGGAGCTTCTCGATTGCCACCTGGAGCTGAAACGCTTGAGATGTCTGCTGCGATGCAATCGCTGAGGCTTTTGGGTGTCTTCTGCTGGTTCCAGAGTCACTGCTTGGATAGTGTGCGGCTGGTGGGGCTCTTGTTGAGCCAGTGTCAGAGCATGAGAAGATGGGCTGCAGGGACTCTGGGAGGGAGAGGCCTCCTGGGATGGTGGGAGTGATGAGCACTTAGCGTAGCTCAAGTTGTGGATGAGAGAGCCTCTTTTTGTGGTCATCATGGCAACAACAGTGGATTTAGCTGTAACCTGAAACAAAGGACAACAATGCAAAATATTCATAAATGAATTATTCAAATTTCTTAAAATTACACCTATTTCTTCTCCCTCATTGAAATATCCAAACATCTACTACACTTTTGTGAGTCAAACTCAGATTTTGAGGAAAATTTCACCCACAAAATGACCATTTGTGTATCAGTTACACACCCTATGTAATGCTGAGTTTGTGTGGAACACACAAGCACGGATGAGTAGCGCATGTGTGCTCATATGCAGAAGTGTTTTAAAACTACAGTTCCAAAAAAAAGTTGGAATGCTGTGTAAAATGTAAATAAAAACAGAATGCAATTATTAATTATTATTCAATTGAATA